ATAGGGGACTTGGGGACCATTTCGGAAGAACATGGGGTCAAGCTTCTGGTCTGGGTTACTCTGCTGGCCTGCGAGTTACTCTAGATTTACCTCGTCACAACACAGAGCACAGGCAGGGCCTGGAGTTTAAATTTGGGCTTCGCAACAGCTACTTCCCTCCTCCTCAGAACATTCACTAACCGCACATCTGGATTGCTGGCCTCAGCCTCGTTCTTCAAAGGGCCTCTGAATGGGAAGCCCTGTGTTCCGGCTGCTGAACAGGGGAACAGACACAGGTGCTGAAATATCTGTTCTTCCTACTGCGGGGGTTGGGGGGCAGGCTGTGGGCTAATGGAGGCTTTAGCCATCTAACCCCCATTCGGTGCGTGAGCATAACTCTCCGTACAGCTAACAGAACATACACACATTGTGGGGCAGGATATACACACACTGTGGGGCTTGGAGATTTTACCCCACACTTCATTCTCTCCGTGTTAGCCCGGCCAGGAAAGCAGGAAAGAACGAAGACTAGCAAGAAAAGGGCGGGAGGCGGAGGAAACCCTGAGCTGGAGCGGGGATGGATTCTGTGAGCCAGTGAATGACCAGGAAGTGTGAATGTGGCAGCTCCTCCCTGGAACCCAGGGCACCAGGCTGGCTCCTGCAGAAATCCAAGCGCAGCACTGATAATAATTATCATAAATCTTCCGTGTTGGACAGCGGATCCAGCACACACAGGTTTGCGCCACGATTAAGAGATCTCCGTAATATCTGAAGGTCCCCAGTGGGGCCAGAGCAGCAAGATGCAGCTAACATGCATCAAACACATAAGAATATCTCAATCATTACTGCTGCCAATGGTGGCTCTGAAACCGATCGATAGGGCAATTAGATTTTATCAGCACACGCCTTTCGGCCTCCTCTTCTGCTGTCTTTGCAAAAGCCTGGGTTAGACCTGCCTTTTCGGGGCCCTTTCTGTCTTGCTGAGAAATGACGGCTGGGCCAGAGTATTGTTTTTTGCAGGTGGGGTTTATTCTGCCTTGTTTTATGTTTGCAAGGTTCAAGAAAAGGGGAAAGAACCAGACAGAGTTAAGCTGTGAGCGATTCACTACCAGATCTCCTATTATTAGTATTATTATTTATTATTTGCACTACTGTCGTACCTAGGAGTCCTAGCCAGAGACCAGGTGCTGTACAAACCTCCTGTCTTCACCACACACATGGAACACTTGCATAGGGAAAACACAACCCCAGATGTAAAATCCCTGCAGTCAGACTGCAACCCCTGCATGCCAGCAGGGGAGAAATAACAAGAACTAGTGGCGAGAGCAGGGGGGAACTGGCAGTCAGGAGACCTCCACCACTGATCTGCCCTATAATCCTGGGCAAGTGACTTTGCCCCTCTACGCCACCTTTGTGGGGACCCTCATATAAAAGGCACTATATATGGTATTGCAGCTTCTGTGGCCAGAATCTACCATAGGCAGGTTAACAATACCTCCTTTCTCCCACTCTTTCTCCGTCTTTTGGACGCACACTGAAAGCTCTCTGGGGTTGCGACTTCTCTTACGATGTGCACGTACAGCGCCTAGCACAACGGGGCCCTGATCTCTGTAGCTACTGTGATACAAACAATAAACAACCACCACAGGGAGCGCTCAGCATTATTTTCTCTCGTCATTATTAAGTAGATTTCGCACCAGCTAAGCCTCCAGGCTAACCCAGCACTCAGTTTAAAGCAAGGCAGGTGGTAAATCAGTTGTGGCATTTCCTCCTTGTAAAAAAAAAAGTCAACAGTGGCAGGGCCCAGAGTTTCCATTCCCTTTGCCCCTGTCTGAGCCACATCAGGGAATCTGCTAGCAGGAAGGTGGTGTAGAGACAGCTGTCAGGCTCTGCTCCCAGTTGGGCAGAGATGGTTCCTACAAGGGACCTGCCTCCAAACAGCAGGGAAGATCAGGTTTAAACTGCCCCTGTGGAGCCACAGCAACCCTCCTGCCCCCACCTTCATACTCCCAGTTTCCCCCAGCACCTCCTCCCCCACTGGTCAACTCTTGTTAGAATCCATCCCATCCTCAAAGGCGCCGTCGCTTGCTCAGCGGCCTCTCACTGTCCCTCCTTGTAGGAAACACAGGCCTATTTCAGCGCCTCTCTCTCATAGCTCACATGTTCCATACAACCTGAGCCAGGCTTTGCCACTGTACTAACACCAACCCAATCAATCAAGGCCCAGGCCTTTCCCCACCTCTGGGATTCTGGATGCCTCCGGGGCCGGGGGGGGGGGGCGGGTTGGGATTATTTTTTGTTTGTTTCCCTTGTCATCATTCCGTGTTGCTGAGAACAAACAGAGCACACTTTGCTCCTCTCCACAGCTACAGATCTCAGAGCATTTTATCAGCCTCAATTAGGTCTGGCAACCTCTCCGCAAAGTAAACAGTATTAAGCCTGTTTTCACAAATGAGGTCAGTTGAGGCACCAAGTCACTTGGTCAAGGTCACACACACAAAGTCAGTGGCAGAGAGGGGAAGAGAACCCAGGAAGTCCAAAATCCCAGGTTCTGACCACTAGACAGCACTGTCTCCATCAACTTAAGAAATGGTCACATAGGTACGTTTCGAGCCAGCCCCTTGGTTCTTGGCTGCAGCAGTGCGGGAGAATACAGCTCAGAGATAGGTCCGTCAGTGCAATTTGCAAAGGAAGGAGGGATTCCAGCCGAAAGGTGAAGCCTACGAGCTGCCCTCCTAGATGCACCTGCTGCCAAGTAATTTGTGGAGCAGTGCCGGGATGCGGCCGGGGAGACAGGAGGAGTATCACACATTTTCAATGCTTGTGACCACCATCTGGGTAGAATTATGTAGACTCCCAGTCTGCAAAGCATGGACCCAACACCCAAATTTCCCCAAAGCTCAGGACCAGGACCCTGTTTCAACCCCTTATCTAGAGATGGGCCAAGCTGCTAAATTCAAATCAGGGTCTGAAATTGCCCCCAACGTCCAGGGGGGACATCTCTAGGGTTTTGGTTTAACCCTTCTCATTGGGTCTGACCAGGCTGAGAAGAAAGAGCTCCTTCTTGGGGCAGGGGCTGGGCGGAAGGGAGCCACTGCCAATTCTCTTCTTGTCAATGTCCAGTTTTACACATTAAAATTCCTCTTGGAGGAAATTTGCCTCTCACATTAAAAATGTTGGTTTCCCCATTTCTGAACATACTGGGGCCTGACTCTGCAAACCTGTGCTCACCAAGCACCAGCCCATGCCAGCAGCAGTCAGCAGGCGTCTGGGCTGGGGAGGAGACATCTGAAAAGTTTGCATTGGGCTCTCTCCACGGGAGGAGTTTGTTTCGCTTTCTTTGCTGCACTGGCAACTCACCCAGGCATTAGCAAACCAAGGCCCCAATTCAGCCAAGCACTTCAAACACATGCTTATGTGCTTGGCAGAATTGGGGCCCAAGGGCCTGAGGCAGCTCCCACCCGCGTCACCAGGAATCCTTCCATTAATTGTAATGGCAGCTGGAGCTAGCCCATAACGAAGGAGACCAGCTGCACCTGTTGGTATTGCACCTTCCCTATTGTGCACACACACACACACACACACACACACACACACACACACACACACACACCCCACCCTCTGCATCCTTCATTTTGTATTGCATCCCGCAGTGAAAACCAGATTCTGGATTAAGCTGCATAATCAATGCCAATGATTTACATGCACGCACAAATGCACGGCTTTCAAGCAAAGACCCTAATAACATACACAGACGCATCTAAATTCTGACTTTGGCAGATTGGGGACCAACAGAATAAAAACAGAAAGACAATAATCTGCCTTTTAATGACAAGGCCCAAACGAACAGCCAAAAACTATAGCGTTAAAGAAGACATTAACATCAACACCCTGCTAGCAAGAGTGGTTTAAAAAAAAAAAACAACCAAACAAGTTAAATAGCACTGCTCAGAGAGCAAGAGTTCCTGAGAAGTAAAGCTTCGTTTGCTTGTTGGGACCACAACCCCTCCAAAACAACCCGAAAAGACTCCCTACTTGGCAGCTTTTAAAAACACACCAGTATGGGCCGGATTCTCCTCTACTTACCACTGGACTCAATGGAGTCACTCCTGATTTACACTGGAGCGAGTGGCCCCTTTTCTGTCTAATGTTCAGATTTCTGATCTCTGCTACACCAGCGTCAACCTAGAGCAACTCTGGTGAGTAAAGTGACTGAGGATTGGCACCGGCGTCAGTGAAATCCGAAACTGGCCTTGGTTCTCAGATGCGAATGGCGAGGGCTAACGAGCCACCCAAACCCCAAATGGTTCTCCCAGCCGCTAACCATCCTGCGGGAGAAATTCACTGATTCTGCAAGAAACAGACAGAACTGACAGTGTCACCGGTGTCCAGTGCCCCACTTGTTGACTGAGGCACATTCACCACCGGGGTGTCCCTGCCCGTCACTTCCTCCCTGATGCTGACATCCAGAGGGGTGCAGTGCCCGGCTCTCCTGGAGCGTCTCTGGTTCAGCACGAGACGTAAGGGGAAGCCAGGTGAACTTCCGTAAGATCAGGCAGCAGTACTGAGCCACGCAACTATCCTTGCAAAGAGTTGGCAGGGACGGAGGCAGCATGGAGAGCCTCTGATTAATGCAATTACAAATCAAACAGTGCTCTCCGCGCCAGGCCTTTCTGCATCACTGGCCACTAACCCCGAGGACATTTCACTTCTTTGCTGGAGCGCTCTCCCCCTGCATTTTAACACAGACCACTAGATCTGAGAATAAAACGGAGCTGAAATCTCACACGACCGCATCACTTGAACCTTACTAAGAAATATATATATATCCCTCCATGTTCATCTTTGTCCACGAATACTGGGAGCGTGCCTTGCTCTGAAATTTAATGAAGCCGGCTGGCCAAAGTGGGGGAGGGGAGGGGAGAGAAGAGGGAAGTCAGCAAACCGAACCCAAGCCGCAGCTGGAACTTTCCTCCTCCCAGCGAATGAGGACAAAAGAGCCAGGCGCCCTGGCTGCTTACCTGCTGCTCCTAAGCCGACGTCGATGCTGTTTCTCTTGAATTCACAGCGACTCTGGGTCTCTGGCATAACGAGTTGGCGGCTCTGATGCAGGTTGGAGATGATGGTGGAGAGGTCGTTATCACGGCTGCAACAGAGCAGAAAAACGCCAAGTTGAGGATATCCTATTTACCATCCCATAATTGATTTTCGTGTCTGAGAGAGTGTGTGCGTGCGTGCGCACGTCTTTTTTTGTTTGCCCCGGAGATTTCTGAATTATGAGGAAGATTTTTCCCTCCCTCCCCCACTTGAAGTTCCTAGGCAACCTCCTCCGTTTTCGGGGAGGGGAAGCCCCTGTAGAGTAAAGCACTTTCCAAGCAGTGGGCTTGTGCCCAGCAAAGAGCTCTGCAGAGGCCAGCACCCCCGCCTCCCCTTTGCCAGAACACACGGCCCAAGTCAAGTACCTAGAAATGTGCCGGAGAAACAGGCATGACAATTCAAGAACTGACAAAAACTTGGAATTCAAATGATTGACAGATGGATGATAGTTAACAGACAGCTACTTGGCTAGCTTTTCAGTTCTCTGTGTGTGTGTGTGTGTGTGTGTGTGTGTTTTATTTTCTTGCATAATATTTTTATATGCAGAGAATTACCATAGACTCAGCCACAGTTGTGGCCCAGAGTGAAAGAATACAACCTTGTTTATAAGTCCTATTTTCAGCCCATCAGTCTAGCTGATACCAAAATAACTACTCCTTCCTTCTGGGATAAGAACACACAGAGTGAGCAATTAAATATTATTTCGCCTGTTATCCTTGCATCAAAGCTGCTTCAAAGTGGGCTCGCTTTAGCTCAAATATTTTTAAAATGTTCTCTTTACCCCCATACGGAATGCATGAGAAAGAGAGAGAGCAAAGATGTTCACAGTAGCAAGTACTAGAGTTAAGATGGCAAACTCACTGTATTACAAACCCTCTGTTTTCATATCTTACATAGAGAGGAAGCAGATATGGATATACATAAATACAGACAATATACAACACATGAGAGAGAGAGAAAGTTCTATATACATATGTATGTCTAGAAGCCAACACTGGAAATTCTCCATCTATTTTTGTTTAATGCTGAATGTTAAACCACCAATGTCTCTAGCACAGAGTGCCTGTCCTATGCTAAACACAGTAGCTATTTTCCTTCCTCTCTCCAGCCAAAGGACGATAACTTCTTCCCGTGAGATCTGGTTTAAGACCTTTGAAAAAAAGAAAGTCAGAGGGTCCCTTACAACGGTTACTCACATGACCAGTGCACCCGCTCTGTGTGTCTGCGACACACAGCACATGACCACCGACTCGCTGGCTCGGAGGAGACCGTCCTAACCTGTGACCACCAGGGCAACTCAGAGGGTGCATTATCTGCAGAATTACCTAGCAATCATCTCCCCTTAAATATTCCCCATCACCACCCCCTGGCCATCAGAGCGAGGAAAAACCACAGAGCTGCTCAAATGCTCCAAAGAGCCCATCCCCAGTGGAGAAGCGGGGCTAATCTGTCGTCTAGCTCTCTGCTAATCAGATAAGTTTATGACAGAAAGTCTTTAGACAGAGGTACTTTCAGCAGGCGTCTGGCTCCAGATTTTCACAGGATGCAGCAGACAAAAACAGACTTTGCTTCGGCAGCCACTGTCATCTGCCCCATTACCCCCGCCCCCGATCTCGGGGCCAAAATCTCAAAGCCTTTTAGCTTCCACTGCTTTATTTTCCTCCACTAAACCAGTGCAAATTCCCCCTTACGCAAGCAGAAGGCTAATTAGTTAAGCAAGTCCGCAGGTGAGTGGGAAGCCCCTTTCCCCCTGTCCCAAGCAGTTTTGAGTCTTATCCTCTTTGAGCTGCCACCTTTAAGATGTATTATGCAAATATTTTGGTGTTTTAAGTCATTTATGAGATTAATTTGAAGTGATTATCGGTTCTTTATAATCATGTATATCAATAACGGGATGCCGGGTACAGAGGACAAATGCAGATAAATGCTGCCATCAGCACTATGGGGAGGGGAGAAGGAGGTGGGATGGGCAGGAGCACAGAGAGAGAAAGGCAGAGAGTAGGAAGAGAGAAATGGGATAATAGCACCTTGAATCCTGAAGGAGTCCAGAGCACTGCAATGATGTGGCCATATCTACAAAACTATACCTAGGGATCACTTTATCCACCCCTGAAATGCAGCTGCCTCTGGGATGGAGCGTGTCAACTGTTTTAACCGTGGTCAGCAACACTACTGCATGACTCTAAAGCAGTGGGTTTCAACCTTTTTTCAATTGCAGACTCCTAAAACATTTTGAATGGAGGTGTGGACCCCTTTGGAAATCTTAGATGTAGTCTGCAGACCCCCAAGGATCTGCGGACTACTGGTTGAAAACCACTGGTCTATGGTAACCATGACCTTTTTCAGACCCCTTAGACAGTCTGCGGACGCCCAGGGATCCATGGAGCACAGGTTGTAAACCACTGCTCTAAAAGAAGAAAGCAAAGCAGAAAACTATATTCAGTGTAAATTACAAGGGGAAATCTAGGTGGAATGAAGTATTACCCCAGAACTAGCACCATTTTTCAAAATACACTAGGAGTTTTTTTGATGACCTTAAATACTCAGGACCACAGATTCAAAAAAGTATCTCGGCACCAAGGAAAAAAGAAAGGCACTACGTACGGTAGGGCATCAAATTACCAACGAAATCACCAGCAGCACTTCAAAGAGCAGGTAGGGATGTGCTCCTGAGAGGGTTACCAACGCAAGTATAGTACTGAACAGACCCAACTCAGCCTGTGAAATCTGATGGGATCCTAGTAAAACATATAGCATGGCTGAAATGCCACAGCTGAGGATGAATTGATCCCTATGGGGAAAATAAGGCCAAAAAAATGTGGGAAGTTGATGTACCAGAGAAGGGGGCTGGGGCAGCTTTAAATGGGGAGAATTATCCCTGGACATTCTCTCGTCTTAGACTGTAAGCTCTTCGGGGTAGGGTGTTTGTACAGCGTTTAGCACAGGGTTCCTAGGTCTACAGTTATATAAACAATAATTGGTGCTTTCCCATGTTTCCATGGACATCTGAATTACATTTCCTTTTGGTAAAGACTTGGGAGCTATTTTAGGAAGGCTTTAAATGCTGCAGACCAAGTCCCCCATGGGGCACAACTCCATTGTGTCTAAGGAGGCATCTTCCACTCTTATTCATGAATGGTACCTTTATTAAAGGATCTGGTGGGGGGAGGATCTGCCCAGCTCCTACCAGGCTTTCTAGGGTCATGCAAGACAAAGAGAAGGCAACAGGATCTTTGTGCATGCAATGGTTAGGAGAAGCTCTGCCATCTCTACCCTGTGTGTGACAGAGGCAGACAGAAAACCCAGAGTTGATCTGCGGGAGAAAACACTGACCTCAGAAAATACCCTTCTGAACTCCCAAAATGTAGACAGCTTCTCTGAAGCTCAAAAATGACTAATATCTCTTCCATTCCTACTCCCGTTAAAGTCAATGAGATTTTATCCCTTGACTTTAAGAGGAGCAGGGCTGGGCCCTTAATATATTAGATTCTATATGATCATTCAATGTGGCATTTACAAATGTTTATGTTATTTGCCTCCACCCCATGACTGGAAGCTCAATCCCCCTGTTCACCACTTTATCCACAAAAATATACCTCACATTTTTATACATACCATGCTCCCTCTTGACCTATATCTACTGTAACGTACCGGCTATGCTCACGTCTGCATTAGAGCTTATTGCCCTCTACTGGATGATCCACAGAGAGGATAAGGGACCTACCACTGCTGCCTCTTAAGGGACATTTCCTTTAGCTCAGGTGGTAGAGTCCTGGCTTTGGCAGCAACTGAGATCTATGGGTTCTAGCCCCAGCTCCCAGTGTGTGTGAGACATAGCTAGTCTACAATACATGAATTCGTTATACGAGTCCCCTCCTTCTGGTCTGCCCTCATAACTTCTTCCCTTTCATACAGCCAAGCCAGTTAAAAGTGAGCAGAACCAACCTTAGAACACAAGCAAAGCAAACAGCCTCTTGGGGCCCTGTTTCTTCGTGCCCATAATAAAAACCCCAGGTGTGTTTCATCACACCCTGCCAGAGGAACCGGATGCTTTTTTGAGACGATTTGACAATATTGTCTACCCTTTCCCCCAATGGGACTTTGTGTCTAAATTCAAAGCATCTCCACCTCCCCCCACTCCTAATATACCTGGCAACAGTCCCAACCTCTCTTTCACGACATTCAGGGGCCTGGATCCAGCTCCTACTGAAATCTTTCCACCAAGCGCACAGGGAGTTCGATCGGGGCCCCAAACGTGCAGCATGCAAGTCCCCCTAATGCTGCAAAAGAGGCACAGCTACAACAGACTAAGAGCCCTTTGCAGCACGAGCTGCCTCTTGGCAGGTGTCAGCCTAGCGCCCAGCACACTGGGGGCGCTACGCAGGACAAGGAATTAACAATTCACGAGCTCAGGGCTCCAACAGGGTCAGCCAACGTTGGGTGAAGAGATGCCTTTCCTGGAAAGCAAGATCCAGGCAACTCAAACCTGCAGCGACCTCAGCTAGAAGACAGGTTTCTGAACTGGTTTTTAACATACTGCAGCCTGGTGCCTGCTGATATTAACCAGGGCTCAGATAATGTGGGCTTCTCCCAAAGCCTGGGTTTAAAGGCCAGCCGCTGCTCCGGCACACACATGTGAACCAATTTGCTCTTCAACTGCCTCTGGGAATGGCTCCGAAAGGGCCGAATCACTAAATCCACACGCACTTGGTCCTTACTAGGGAAAATTCCCACTGAAGCCAGTGGAGATTTTGCTTCAAGGATGGAGTAACATCTGGGTGAGCACGTTGGGATTTAGGCCACAATGAGACAGGCCGTGTGATCTAGTGGGTAAGGCACTGGCTGAGAGCCAGGAAACCTGGGTTTTATTCCAAGTTCCATCGCTGACCTGTTATGTGACCTTGTGCGCATCAGTTCCCCTCTCTGTGCCCTGGTATCCCCTCCTGCTCTTTGTCTGTTTAGACTGGAATCTCCCATGGCAAACACAATGAGGCCCTGATCTTAGCAGAAGCAACCATAACACATACATAGGTTTTTATATTAATAAAT